TATATATATATATATATATATAGGAAGACTTAGGTGGTTGAGCATCAGCAGAATCATCGTCGGATTTTTTTAATGATTTGTGATATTTGAGAGGAAATGAATCGACGAGAGATTCTGGGGCAGGGAGTGATAGAGTAGATAGTGAAAGTGACAAAGACTGATTCTGAATTTCATCCAAAACCTGAAAAATCGAGTACCCGATTATAAAAATTAAAAAGATCTAGATGATAAAATTAAATTGTACAGTGTCCTACGATTTTACAGTCCCTTTTATATTTTACTTAAAACTCCCGATTTTGACTACCTTGCTTGTAATATTCTTCAAAAAAGCACTATGAATTTGAACTAGAATCGAACTTTTTTTGGGGTTCGGAACGAGATAACAAACCCATGGAATCATTGGTCTCAAAGGGAAATATATTTTATATATATATATGCATGTACCTCAAATAATGCCTCAGCAAGAACGATTATTCGTGAAATACTTGCAAGACTGGTCGATTCTTCGGGTGTAAAGAACGAGTCACACGAACATGTACCGTCCAAATGCAGTCCAGACGTACAGAATGCAGTTTGTGGGGCCCCCTCGTTAATGTCACCTATACTTCGTTCCGAAACCTAAGACACGCAAACGTCACTAGGCAGTGAATGCAATAAAAATAAAAAAAAAATAAAAAAAACGAGCAATTCCTATGGAACATAGGTAGAAACGTTGACAACTCTTTTACGAAAAATAAATATCCGACGAGGTCTTAAGCAAGATAAGCGAATTTGATAAATAAACATGGTTTATTGCAATCAGCACCCTTGTGTTATAAATATTAGCAAAGATGCCCCTTGCGAGTCGTTTTCTTTAGCAAACTACTCCCAAAAACGTAACCGTTTTCTTTAAATGCAACGAACACAAATAAATAAACTATTATCACAAGATCACGACGAAATCAAGTTAATAAACACAATATATCTCACCTCCGATCTCATTAGCAATCTTCTTTCGTTCCTCCGACGAAATCTAGCACCGAATGAATCAAGATCACGACCGGTGGCTCCTTCGTAATTTACATCACCACTAAAATCAAGAAGCCATCTATCATTGGGGCCCACATCGTCAGCAATACTAGCTGCGAAAACAATTGTGGGGGGCCCACCGCTAGGCCTTCTAAAGCTCCGTCTCGATAGAGCATCCCAAAACAACCTCCTATTGTTCCTCCTCGATTCTCGGATATTTATTTCGGAATTTCCCGATAAATAATTCGAAGGGATGGTCACCAAATTAAGATGAAGGAGATCTTGGTCGATTTCAGAAACGAGAAATTGCGGACCAGTAGAAGAAGTTGTTGCTGTTGCCGCCACATCAGCATCGGAAACAATAGAAAGCGGCCTTAAATCGTCCGAAATAGCATCGACCGATTCTTGGACAGGCTGTCGGAAATGTGTAAATTTTTTATTTTTTTTTCAATGATCGATTATTTCGGCATTGTTTAAAATTCTCGGAACATTGAAAAACGCATACCTGGTGTGGGAGTTGTTGTTCGATAATATCTGTGCTTGTTTGGACATTTACAAGACCGGAGTCGAGGAAAGATTCCTCGACGGCAGTCGTGCTTATTTCAGACGAGGATTCTACTATGAAGGCTGGAGAAGATTCTACTACGGAGTTTCGAGGAGATTTCTCCGGAAGATTATCCAATTTCTGTAGCGCGAAAACGAGAATAAAAACTGAGTAATCGATTCCGTACTAAAATCTACATGTTTCGTAAATAATCATGTCATCGAAAAAATCATTTTCGACACGATATATATCAATTTTGAAGCTCACGCATCATCAGCACTCATTAAAAAAAAAACTAAGTACAATTGGTTCAGTTCACACATAAAATTTCATTTCAAACACTTAATCTAATCAAGCAAACCACGATCACGAAGAACTGGAAATTAATTACACACAAAATTACACCTAAATACAAAACACGAAATCAATCATACAAAGGGAATCGCATATCTGATGGACTGTAGTAATAAATTCATAAATAGAGAAGGATTAAAAAGCAAAAAAATACCTGGAAAGTTGACTTTGAAGTGAAAATACCACAAAACAGAGATGAAACCCCGCGATTGATTCTGGAACGAGACAAATTTCTTGAAGATGACGATGATTTTGATGAACCCAGATGACTATTGCTCGACCCCATGAATTGATTTCCTCAATTTTCGAAGAAATTTCCCAAAAAAAAAAAAAAAAAAAATCTTTTTTAGAAAGAGGTGTTTGTTTTGTTAGTCAGCGATTTGAAAAGCCATAGGCAAGTTAACGTGTGATGGGTGGGTTGGGCCCAGTTTCCAACTGGTATCTCTCACTCACTCCATTTTTTTTTTCTTTTTTTTTTTTTAATTTTTATTATATATTTCTAAAGCTAGGTTTTTACTTTTTATATTATTTTTTTAATTAATTTATGAAATTGTTATTAGCTAAATGTAAATTACCATATACACGTATTAAAAAGAAAAAAAAAGGAAAAAAAAATGTGCCTTCAAAGTTGAAACTAGAGTTAGAGATTGGAACGGAATTTCCGGTTTCTGCCAATACCGATATGGATTTTTCTGGTTTTGGAATAATATTTTTCGGTCCGAATTCCGATTTTTCCAAAATTATTTGGACTAGAATTGGAATACATAAAACATTACGGTTTATGATGCAATTTTAATTTTTGAAAATAATTCCAAGAATTATGTGACGATCTTTTTCTCGAATATTACACTTACACTATCAATATTTTAAGTGACTACAAAAATGGAAATTTCCGAGTTCCACCGATGAAAAAATTCGATTTTGGAACAAATTTTAGTTCCAAATTCCAAATTCCAAATTCCAAAATTCATAATTTCCGATTCTTTTAATAGAATTGGGATTATTTTTTCGCTTTCGAAACAGAAAATCGGATTTTTTTCCGAAATTGCTTATTCCGATTCAATCTGTCCAATTTCCACACATAATTAAAACTTTAAAACCACATAAATTATGATTAAAGAGACATTTAAAGAGAAATGATGCTCATATTATGCTAAATGTATTGTTCATCGAGTGTAGCATTCTTGGATATATTTCGAACCCTTATTCGAAAATTTCCAACTTTAAGAGAAAAAAAGAAAAAGGAAATAAAATCATTCCAATATTTAAAATTTATAAAATTACTGCAAAAAAAAAAAAAAAAGCCTTTGATTATCCCTCATGTTACAGTTGAGACTATATCCTAATTTACAAGTCAAGCAATTAATTAAGCTATATAAAATCAATGGCTCAAAGAAATCATTCTTAGTTGCCAAATCCAAGAGTACATCATTCCTATAGCAGAATATATAGAAATCATCATAAGGGGTAAAAAGGGAAATCGGTCACCAAAAACGATACGATGGAGAAACTGCCCCCATATCTCGATACACAATAAGCCCAACAGATAGAATTTTCCGAACCATCCGATGTAGAAAGTAGGAGTTTCTTGTTTATTGTTATTATCTCTTCCTCCCTTAACTGCAGTTGCTGTTGTAGAAATACTCCGAGGGAAAATAGAGGAAAACCCGAAAAACATGACGAGAGAATGTAGAAGAAGCAATACGACTTTAATTGGATATTCTTGGGCTTCGAACAGAAGAGGGAAAAGCGAGTAGCAAGACACTGCATGGCATGGCATATAAGAGACGACCGTTAGTGTTCGCACAAAAATATACCGATATATTTCAAGATTGTGTGTGTGCATGTGCGTGTGCGTGTGCGTGTGTGTGTGAACTTTACTCGATACTATAGATACCAAAAATCTGGATTTAGGAAAATCATGCAAAACGATTGGTCAATAGTTCGGCAATCAAACCACACATGCTTTTTTTATGAGAATAACAGAATTCATACCAATGAATGTTATAAATTCAAAGCCATTTACATTAACGAAGTAGCAAAAAAGTTCAACCTCGAAAGAACTAGCATTCGTATATTACACGACAAATATGAGTATTAGATATATGATTTGAATAGACTAAAGGGTATAATCGTACCTATGGACAAATAGAAGTAGTGTCTAGCATCCTCAGCGCTTCTCAAGGATGTTGCAGCTAAAGGAATCACGAAATGAAGCGACGCCTTTTCGTGAACATGCCATCCGAATAGAAACCCGCACGTATAAGCATACGATATCCATTTAGATACCATCTTAGGTTGTGGATTCCTCCACGCCTTTACGAGACAAGGAGATATTGCCAATATGACCGTGACGAATGTAATCAAAGGGGTGATCTGCAATTTTTCGTAACGAAATCAAGAAATTGATATGGTTATTTATTTCACATACCAACACACGTTAAAATAATAAGCGGGGGATTTTGTTACCGTGGGTAGTACGGCAAATGGTGACGAATCCCCAACTAGACCGCCTGTGAATGAAGCTGTTGGTGCTTGGATATCAAACCCTAGTTTCACGAGCGAAAATGCCAGACATTTATCTAATATTATATAGAATACCCAGAAATTTGGAGCCCAGTAAGCATGACAAAGTCCTCTGCCGAAAGGAAACATGCGGTGGAGAACTTGTTGTATCTGCAAAGTAACAAGCGAAAAAACAGCACAACTTGTAAATAAATAACATTCTTACAAAAAAAGAGAAGAAAAAAAAACACGGATAAAGCATTGTACAGCATTGAATTCAACCTCGGATAATCGAAGATAACATAATATCCCCAGTTATATTTATCTATTAAAAAAAATTCATCAATAAGAAAATCAACCATTCCATAAATCTATCGGAATTTCGTAGGAAAAGTGATTTATCTTATTATTAATCAAGGATTTCTTATATGGCGAGAACGGCCCTCGCAAATTGCGAAGACTAATTTGTTAAGAATTAAGCGGATTGAAGATATAGCGTCATCGTTTGCTGGAATCGAAATATCTGAACTAGCAACTGGTTTACCAAACAACACATTGGATTATCATTAAAAAAAGACAATCGACGATAAATTATAGAGAGGTCTTTTAGTTTACAACTCCCGAAAAACAGAGTATGCTACGATTTCTGGTAACTTGCTCTACTTATAAAGTAAGAATTCCCGACCAATTTGCAGCTGATCGTCTACTCGACAAAGCAAATGTAGAACTAAACTTAAGTTGTGACAAAAACTATCAAATTCAAATAATTAGTCGAATCGAAGCATCGTCTTTTTCACATTCCAACAATCAACATTTAACAAATTCGAGCACAACAAGAACAAACAAACATTTACCTGCCCGTAGTACCAAAACGGGCCGTAAGCAGCGGCAAAAACCGCCAAAACCGCACTCCCCATAACCACCAACCTCGCAAACCCCTTCACCAATCCGCCATTACAGTAATGCCTAAACAAATACACGAAATAAACCGGCGCAGCCACTGCGAATAGATGCTTAAAACAGAGCAAAACCGCGAAAACAAACCCTCCAATCAAATCCCTCCCTTCCTCCAAAAACGAAATTGACAGCAATAAAATCCCTAACAGAAATCCATTGTACTGAAAATGCATATGATCCACAATTAACAACCCCGGCGACCAAATAACCAAACACCAGATCAAAAGCCTCTGTGCACAACCGAAATTTCCGCCTTTGGTCAATCTGTGAGAGGCGTACACCAAAACGACGTCGGATAGTATCACGGAGAGGCGCTGGAAGAGGATCGCCGGAGGGGAGGCGTAATTGAGGCCGCGGTGGACATCGGCCATGGTGGGGTCCACCTTGGAGGCGAAGAAGGAGAGGAATTTCTCGAAGTAGGCGAAGAAAGGAGGGTAATCGAGCGTCCATTCGCTGGTGGCGTCGGAGTACCATTGCGAGAGGGGGAGGGAGTGGGTAAGGGCTAGCCAGTGGCGGTGGACTTCGAAATCGGTGCTGCGGTAGGAGGGGATTAGGAGGAGTTTCACGGCGGCGGCCACTAGCGCCGGCCACCATACGCCGCCGATCTGGGGGCGGTTGTTTGGCGGCGGGGTTTTCATCGAGGAAGGGGGCAGCTTTGCTAATTTTAGTTAGTTCATTATACTATAGGTGGATAAATTAGAATTCTTATTTTCGATTTGATTTAAATTTTCAAAAACAAACAATTAAACATATTGTTTTTCGTAAATTCCATTTATAACATCAAAATTAACAAATTATTATATATATATATTTCTAGTATTTATTAATAATTTTAATAAAAGATAATTCAGCAAGAACCACCATCCAGGAAAATGAGTTAAGTAAACACGCGCTCAAAAAAAATAATTAGAGAAAACCTCCTTAGATAATATCCACTCAAATGATATTTTCATAATTCCAAAATTACCCTTGATTGTCTACTATACTATTTCAAAACCCAAATTTTATTTTCTCTTTTCCGTCTCTTCTCTCGCGTCTCTTCTCTGCTTTTTTTTTTCTCTCTTTTATACTTTTCTCTCATTTTCTCTTGTCGGAAGATGAAAAACCAACCACCGACATCACCGCCAGAACAACGATGCCAATTCCGTTGAAACCGTCGTCGTCGTTGCCGTTGCCGTCTCCGTCACCGTCGCCGTCGTTGCAGATCTTAGCAAAGGCGATAAAGATGATGATAATTTTGATAGCGATTCTGAGTTCGAATGCTACGATTGCTACATCGGCGACGAAAAGAGGTAAAATTGTTGATCGGAATCATATTTTGATGGGTGGTGGTTCTGCTTTGGTTGGTGGTGCGAGTTGTGATTTTATTTATTTATTTGTAATAAAAAAAAGTCATAATATCAAAGTAAGGTGGTGATGGTGTGTTGTGCCGGCGTTGTGGTGACGATGGGGAGGCAGAATTATGGTTTTTTGGTCGATTGGGCGGATGACGGCGCGTGCAGAGAATTTCACGCAAGCTGAAACCTTAATCGACTGTGTACATGTTCATAGTCGATTAAGTTAATCCACTATGCTCTGGTAGCCGATTATTGTTTTTTTTTTTTTTTGTTTATTGATTCTAATTGTATAAATCATTTATAATGTTTGTACAATTTTTGTTTGGGATGTGATAAATGTCGTTCGAGATTTAATAATACCGTTACATTTTCAAATGTGATTTTGATCATTTTTATTCCAAAATTTACAAAACCCGAAAAATAGAATTTGTAGTATTCTGATGTAGTTTTCTAACCCAACTTGAATCACCAACATTGGATGTCGGACGAGGAAGATATACATGAATCAATGGATACTACCCACAACTTTGATGTATTCAGGTATCTAAAATTCAAAATGTGACTCATTCATGCATAACTTTGTCACACGGCATCCAATCTAGCGGATTTAAGTTGGATTAGAAACCTAACCCAAAGGACTACAGCTTTCGTGTTTCGAATTTCGCCAAAATCAAAATAGAAATATGTCAAAATTAGGTTCGAAGTCAAAACGACATTAGTAAAATTGAAACGACATTTAACATTTCAGTTTTTGTTTTGTAATATATAATTGATTTTAAATTTTTTCGCAGTTGTGATTTGTTATTTTTAGTAGCAGATTCTTAATCGACTATGTTTCACATCATAGTCGATTAATGTGCTTCATTCACTCCAATTTTTAATTTTTTTTTTCTTGGATTTTTGGTTTATTGATTCCAATTATATAAATCAATTATAATGTTTGTATATTGTTTGTTTTTTGTAAAATATAGTTGAGTTCGCATTTTTGTAATTGTGATTTTTTATTTTTAGTAGTCGGTTCCTTAATCGACTATAGTTCATCATAGTCGATTTAATATGTTTCATATTCGATTAATATACCTTATAGAAAAACAAAAAGTTAAAAAATAGTAATAATAATAATAATAATAATAATAATAATAATAATAATAATAATAATAACAATAATAATAATAATAATAATAATAATAATAATAATAATAATAATAATAATAATAATAATAATAAAATAATAATAAATAATTTAAAAAAAAAAAAATAAAAAAAAAAAAAAAAGAGGAAAGACACGTTGATGGGTCATGGGCGGGAATGGGCAGATAGTGTTAAAGGTGGAAGGACATAATTGGAAAAATTGGTGGCTAAAATTAAGAGCGAATTTCTCAAAAGGTGCAAAATAATTTGGGGTTTTCCCTATTAAAAGAAGTATTAAGAGGTTATATCCAAGAGTCTATTTTAATAATAAACATTAATAAGTAGGACCGGCAATTGATCTGGGTCTAACCGAAGCCCGATAGCTCGGCCCGATTATATTTGAAGTCGAGCCTATTTTTTAGTGAGTCGGGCCTAGTTTGAGCCATTTTACTGAACCCGATTTATTTATGAGCCGAATTTGAGCCTACTATGGCTCAACCCCGAATAAGACCCGACCGATTAGGATAATAATAATATATAAAATATTTTATTATTTTAATGGTTATGGATCAACATACAAGTTGTGACTGTATAAGAATATTTTGATTTTGTAAAGAAAAAAAGTTC